TATATATATATATGGAGAGAGAGAGAGAGAGAGAGAGAGAAAGAACAAGTTCGTTTAGAAATGTAGGAACAGAAGGTCATTTGTTAGAACTTTGCATACGAGTCTCATGGAATAGGCGGGCACTTCAAGCAAAGATATTGTACGCTCCGTTGTTTCAACTGTCTAATTTTTTATACCAAGTTTTTTAATCTTGAAAGACCAATGTAAATGCGACATGTAACAAATCAAACGGAACTATTAATTTCTGCTCTCATTAGTTAACCACTGTCACCGCTTCACTAGATCGTCAAATTACTTTTGTCTGTCATTAAATCCCTGCTTCTTGTACACTCAGCTTCTATATTCTCATCGTTTCATTATTTAGTCTTCATATGCGCAGTGTCCCTTTCATGGCCTTCCGTGACTGTGCAGTTTCTCTTCTGTAAAAAATGTACTATTCCCGCTAAGATTCAGTGCATTCATACGGCATTGTTAAAACGCTTCTAATCCGTGTTCTTCAGCAAGTACGCCTTTAATTATTCTAGCATTTAATAAAGGTATCCTGCCTGTATGTGCGGTATATAGTGTTACATATTTACCGATAGCTACTTCTAAAGCAGATGAAATCTGTCCACTCGCCTTTTACCCAAAATGAAAAATCCGGTCTGAAACACAATCTTCGTTCGCCCTATTTTCAGCCTTGCTTTGTAAGAATGCTTTTTGGGATGAACTTTTTGCATCCGTACCACCAAACATCGAACATCTATACTGAATGCCTTTTGTATTGTAATGGGGAGGATAACGGACGGAAAACAAGCCGAGTATAAAATTTTCGAGTAAATCTTCGGAGGCTGGGCTGCAATATAACAATTGAACTACATAGCCAAGCAGAAAAGATATTTTGTTAAAACCGTTTCATTTTTGTAAGAGGTATATATATATATATATACACAGGAAGTTAACAAAAAACAAGCGATCCACGCACAGACAAACATGCATATACGATCATGCAGGCATCGCCGCAGAAGAAGTTACTCAAACAACAGCCTTCACCTATTGATAAACAATGACAAACATCATACGCAACTATAATTACTACTAGCAAAATTCCGCAGGCAAACAGTTATGGACGAAAGATGCTGGGTATATTATTCAAGGGACAATGATGCATAGTAAATGTATACTAATATCATAACAGTAAAACATTGATAATGGTATAATCAAATTATTATTGATAATAATCATTATACGAACTATATAAATAAGGGTAATGATATAATGTGAGATAAAAACGAAATTATTAGCAATTAACAGCTACCACTAACAATAACGGTATGATTATAATGCTAAATGACTGAATGGATGAATGCATTATTGATTAAGCCATTCGTGTGTTGACCGTATTATGGGGATGCGAGCGACCCAATGGAAGATAGCATTGAGGATTTCCAACCTCGATACGGAACAATAATAATATGGATGGATTGCCGATTATCGTAACGATTACCCATTGTACAGAATGAAAGAAACATCCAACCAAAAGGAACGCGAGAGATAGATATTTGACCACGCTATACATATTATGCTCTATACATATATTGGTATATAACAGAGGGTAAATAGCTCGCAAAAAGTGAAAATCGCGTAAGTTAACCCCCGATTTCCCAGTTCTGAGGGTAAGAACAGTTACCATGCAAAAAGATCTGTACTCTACTTCTCACAGAGTTTTGATACCTATGCGAGCCAGCAAATTATATATATATATACGTGTACCGATATCGTCTAAACGGAAATCTCAACAGCTAATGCAGACTTAACCTAACTCCGCGAAAACAGACCGCCCCCAGTTTCTTTAACACAGTAAAAAAAAATATATATATACATATTGACTGTGTGACAAAAAGAAACAATTGCTAAGATAAATAAAAACAAACAACGGAAAATTGCGTAAATATAAGACAGATATTGCGCAGCCGTTGTACTCAACTTTATCTAGAATGTCACTTATTTTATTAAAACACAAAATCATCTCTGGTACTCACGCAAAACTATACGCTGTCCTATCACGGCTCGTGCGTTTCTTATGTCCTTCGAAATGGGTTGAAGCAAAACAAAGGGACATAGATATGAGAATCCTGATAGACAACAGCATTGAAACCACGTCTTGAAAACGTGCGTGTATGTATGTATCCGTATCTCACTTTATGCGATACAATCCATATGATTTTATGCATATGCGTATATGCATATTTCGATCAGATCATCGGCAGCACTTATGAAAAAACGTGAGTGTTGCCATATAAAAAGATATATAATAGAAAATAATACTAAAACACACCGTGCGCATAAAATGAAAATAACCGTGTATTACAGTATAGCGGCGCGACAAATGACACTAAAGATAATAATATTGCTAAATACCCTTTTGAAAAATTATCATATAATAAACATAACTGAAAATCAACAAAAGGAGAAACGAACGTGCATGTAAAAGTAAAGCACAGCAAAAAAAAAAAAAGAAAAGGTTATATATATACACATGAGCATAGCTATATTATATACAAACGTATAGGCAGGGGGTGAGGGTTAATTAGTCTCCAGCTCATACTAATACGATTACATTACTAAGTAGACGATAGTCACAAATCTGAAATCGTCACGCTTACGGTTACGTGATTTACGTGGTTTTGGAGTACGACGCGACCAGAGCGAATTTAGGAATACTAACAGACCCGTAGAAAACGGAGAACGGGTGAACCCTTTTAGGAGGGAAAGTGAAAAGGCCCAGTGGAGATCGTTTGGTTACATGGAACACAACAAATTGTCGTACAGGTTTTAATTGGTGGAGAAAGCTTAAAGACTTCTAGTGGTTTCAAATGAACCGTAAGTAGGATACGCATGACATTTGAAGATGTCGCCCAGCGAAGACGGATGCGGGGAAAGGCAGTTGACGACGGCGACGGCAAAGCAACAGCACTCACTTACACACACACACACACACTGAAAATAGTGATGAGATCCAGCATCGGACGAGCGCGAACCGATGAAGTCACTAATAGGCAGACCGTCGTAGATGTATATAAATATATACAGACATAAATGAATATAGGATCGAGCATGATAGCAAACAGAAGAAAAGAAGGTGAACATGAAAATGGCGAAAGGAAAAATGGAAAATTAAAAAAATATGGCGAAATATGCGCGAGGACCGAATTGGAATGGGACGCGAAGGAATGAAGCATAGTAATACAAGTGGTATTGATAACGATGATAATGTAACGAAAGCCGATGATAAAGGCTGATGCTAGTAGCGAAGGTTGGAAGCTACGGAAGAAATAAGCGAAGAATACCTTTTGAAAGACTCCCTTAAGATGATGACTGACCAAAGTGAACAAAAATAAATTCACATATAATTAATTAATAATAATTAAACTAAATATACGTTGTATTCATTTTCTTCCGCTGAGAAAACATTACTACCGATGAAGTAGCTCATCAGAGCAGCGTATTGTAGCTAAGAGATATTCTGAATGAACGTCTTAGAGTATGTACGTGAATACGACATAAAGGAACACTCGGATTCTTAGGATTGACATAGAATTAATACATGTAGGGTCGTGCTTCGATCATAGAATGCGAGGATTCTCGTCAACACCTGAGGAAGTATGACCAAATTGTCTGGAACATCGCCCCTATGCGGGGATATGGCTAATGAAAATTGAATGCATGGCACATGCTGGTCCATTTAGGCGGTATGATAAGATAATATTTACATATTAATCGGCCTACTATCGCATTAATCGACGATTGAACTATGTTGTTATCTTGTAAAATTTTGTAACGGGAATATATTTCTCTTTTGACCATCGTCCTTTTTTAATTGTACAGTATGCGCACGTTTTTAATCGGGCAACTGTTCATCAAAGGTAGATCTTCATCGGAAGGCGCATTTTCTAAATTAAATTCTGAGTCACTTTTTGCATCAATTTTCTCCATGAAAATTAAATATTCTAATCATGTAGGTATGACTATTTTACTAAAGTAGAAGATTCGAAGCTTGATCCTGCAAATTATAAACCGATAAACATATCCAATCTATATTGAATCTCCCTCACCGTTCAAACATGTGGCAGGTTGTATACCTCTCCGAAAAGATTAACTTCTGCAGTAACCCATTAGTCTAATAAAGTAGTTAGGTCATATACATGCGTAACTAACTGATACGATAATAACCTTTACGCCATATCAGCTTTGCTTGATCGCCTGATTATTATCTCTACTTTTTTTTATCCGCAGGGTCCTTTGTGTAGCAAATTCGGCAAACGGCCATGTATTTGTCCGCACCACCGATAACTTCAAGCTGAAACACGAGTATAACGAAATTAGTTTCGTGCTCAATGAAATATGTGCTTTCTATTTCCTTGATCTGTTGAAAACTATATCACTAAATGCACTTGTTTCAACCATTAATTTTTACACTTTCGTGTTAACGAAAAAAACTACAGAGAGGACAATACATTATGAAACATATGTTTCAACTGCACATCTACATCTGAAAGTTGGATATGATAGATGTACCTCTGTTTCATTGCCAATACGCTTGGTGAATGCTGCTCCGTTGTAGCACATCATACAAACAGCTTGAAGCTTAATGACAGATTCGGAAAGGGGAACGAGCTCAAGTATGTTTGCGAAACCTTTGCGTTGGAAAGTTCCATCTAAAGCGGCCACAATTACAACTCTGCCCTGGCTTGCCATACGTTCGGCAAAGGCGACCGTGTCAGGAAACTAGAATATTTTAAACCGAAACAACAAAAAAAAAAAACGACAGTTGAACGCCTTATCGCGATAGCTAAAAAAAAAAAAGTTAGAAATTTCTTTTAGCACATTTTAATATTTTTGTTGATTCGTCTATTTCTTTTCAGAGAAGTGAATATCTCCTAAGGTCCTAAGAGTATCTGACAGTCCTTCGTATCCGCCCAAATAGTCGAATAGGCCTTTGATCTTCAGAAAAAAAAAACGGATTTTCCAAATATGGGATTCTCACAGATGATAGTTTCGCAAATAGTTAAACCAACATAATATTGCGGTTTATAAAGCGAAGTGATATGTCAAATGTTGGGCAAATATTTTTCACAATCTTAGTCATGAAAACCCCGCACAACTAGCGAAAACACGGCCCCCACGGGTTTTGACCAGCATAAGATGAAACGGTTAGCACAAATCTAGAATCAAATGCTCAAAGAACTTCTGGTTCGTTAACAAACGGTACCATACAGTAGCAGGGTATCTATTTATAGAAGGAGGATGATCGAATTCTTTTGGAAGCTAGTAAATATGGTAGTAGACAAGTAGTGCCCATTACGAAAATTTTATTTAGTTCATCTTAATATCTCAATAACATTCATACTAACAAATTGTCCCTCGTCAATTCCGATGACGTCATGTTTCTTAGCCTCGTTCTCAACGTCCATAAGTGCTGTAGCTTTAATAGCTGCCATCGAGGCGTGATCGTGTGTGGTTACGTCCTGTGCGTCGTAGCGGTCGTCTTTCTCATACTTAACCAATAGGCAGCGTAGATTAGCGATCTTATAACGCCGCATTCGGCGTATCAATTCCGTCCTGCAAGTTAGTGATCGTTAGCGTTTATGCAGGTGTACGTATATTGAACGATACCGGATTTTTCCTCCTAGCATAGCTAGTTTTTGAAATTGTGATCGCATGACCAGAATAGAAAAGTATTGAATGACGTGTTCTCGCGTACATATATATATATATATATACACCAAGAGGGAAACAGATCAGTTTCGTTTATCTATTGTTAAATAAGCTATTTTATTCGTGGTATTCACATTTATATAGTAGAGCTAATCACATTTGGTTGTGTAGAGTTTGACCAGGTTGTAAGTAGTACTTATTGCAGTGTGCTTTATAGCACTTAGTTCTGTAAATAAAATTAACAATACAAATAATAAAAACTGATAGTTTTTTTAACCGATTTACATCGACTAACACCTAGGCTTACTTATTTAGCTAGTTATCTTTACGTTACACACAGTCCGGTTCCTACATGGAGTACACACTAGAAATTACACAGCATTACTCTGTTACTTGTTGCACTTTAAACGGGAGTTAGCTTAGACCTTCACGGCTGGAGTCTGCATTATGGACCTAAACTCATCATTCTATTGTACTACCTCCTTTAATTAGTTGCAGCCACCCTTGTTTTTTCATTTGAATTTTCTTTTGGTGCTTCTCCCTCTTTTCTCTTCCGTATTATTCGATGCATCCCGTTACATTGCTAAGGACACCAACTACCTAATCGTTCTTTGGAGCTCTAAAATCAAGCCTTTTTCATCTTTGGAACTTCCATAAATTCCCTATTGTCGTTGAGATGACTTCACAAAAAAATCATATTCTTCCAGTTTACTTTGGATTTTACGGAAAAATCGCATATAGTTTTTTTTAAAACTTGTCATTTTAAACGCAAGAACCTACAAGCACTGAAGCCGCTTTTAGATCGATCACGCGTGCGTACATAAAAACAGACGTTCCCTCTTTTAAGTTAATAGTAATAGCAAAAATAATAACGTTTACCTGCGATTGCTTGAAACTTACGTCTTTCCAGAAAACATAGGTCCAAGGACAAGTTGAATATGCCCATGGGAGTTCCCGTTCCTTTCGTCAGGTAAACGAGTACCATTCATCTCTATGTACATCCCAATATGCCCGTGGTCAGCCCTAACAAACCCTTTTTCCTAAAAAATCGTAGAACAAAATCATGATGGTATATTATGAACGATTTGAGTATATTCCTGATATTTTCAATGGTATGCTCTCAAATCTCTTACGAGTATAAACAGGCGTACTCTCATTACATCAGTGGGCGTAATTAGTTAAAAGTGATACCTGTCTTAGATCAAAGGTATCAGCTTTCTTCACAAAGGCATCCGAACAAAGTTATGTCGTCAACAAACTTTCATTCAGCCAAAAGGAAGACAGTATTTTTATCGCACAGACATATTTGAAGTAGCTCCTGAAATTAATGCAGTAAAATTAGTTTTCTTTTGAATTGCCAGTCACAGGGCCTTTCCCATGTTTAGAAAATACTAAAGCACTTGAAGTTTTACAATTGTATGGTAGTTCTATTTTATGTATGTTATGGAATTGCTATGTTACATTTTATTTACTATTATTTTTACTTACATAATAGTAATAATGTTATCATAGCTAGCCTAGTTAAAATTAAGGTAACTGCCATGCTTTCGCCAGTATGCGAAAACGGCAAAACAGTAAATCTGCTGGTTAAAATTTTACCATAAACTTCCTCGATTTTTTTATTATTTCAAAAACTATCTACGTTAGCAAAAAACAGTGAACTTACGTACAAGCTTTGCTTTATAGAGCTGAATTTACTAATCTAACCGGTTTTGTCATCTAATCAGTATCTTCGCATCCGACAAGCTATTATGTTTTTACGCAGTCAGGCCGTACGTAGCTTTGACGGCATTTGATGTCGTAGTTATTTCTTTGTTGTCATTTAAATCGTGCCACAGAAATTGAAATTTAATTTGTGGGAAGAACTAGTCAGTATTACCAATACATCGGCGATTTTTTTTGGTCGCTGAGAAAAGCACTTACTACCGTGAGCACTATAAATCGTGCTATTGAAAGGCGCATAAAGTACTCGGTAAAAAGCTCCTACCGAATGCTGCTATTGATTACTTTCTACTAGCTGTTTATTATGTTGCCATGTAATGATGAAAGATTTCTCCGTCGTAAACTTTTCCAAAAATCTGATCGTTGGATTATCAAACGCTCGTGAGACGTTGAAGTAGTATTTATAATACATACATATCTTAATAAAGGTCATCGGGTATACATTTTTTTATAATTTTATATGATATTTTAGTTCATTATAGTACTTTTCTATACTTTTGGTCAACTGTTGCTCGCATACTCTGGTAGGAGACAGATCACCTAAATCGGCTATGAAACAAATTCTGCTTATTACTAGCATAACATTATTGTTCTCGCTTACTTTAAAGTTTTTAAAAGTTTGAAATACCGTCTTTAGTATACGCATAACTTAAACGACGATTACTCACCACAACGGTAAGTAAGTAACTTTTTTTTGTCCACATAGCAGCACTAAGTAAATATGAAATTTTTTCGTTTGTTCTATGATGAAATGTGTATTATTATTGTGATTATTATTAATAATTGTATTATCATTATTTAACACAGGATTTACCAAATTTCTGCTTGTTTCACTTATTCCACCCGTTGAGAGCTGGCAATTGGAAGAAACGATAAATGCTTGTCCTTAAACTGTTGATTTAGTATTCACGGTTAGATATTAATGGAAAGAAATGACCGATTTTCGCATCTCGTCCTTTGCATCAAATAAGATAAAATAAAAGCTACTCTATTTAAAAACTACAGAAACATCATGCAGATTTATATCTACCAGCATGAGTACTGCCAATTTTGTTGAGCTATGATATCGTCCGATACGAGCAACATAAGACAAAGGGTCTAGTATCAAGTTGTCACAGAACTTAAAAATCAACTTGCAGCGGGCAAGCTTCTTAGTCTTGTCTTCGATGAGCGGACCTCGCAAAATATTCCGGGCTTGCTAATCTTGGTCTCCTCACGAAGGACAAACAAATTTCTAACTTTTGTCCTATAGAACCATTAGGGAGAAAAACTGCAGACGACCAACGAGGTCACTCTGGGCTACTGACACTAAATACGGCCGACACCCCAGTCTTATGGGCTCTGGTGCAAAGCATAGACTTAATTCATAAGGATGGGTCTGTAAGCTGCAGCAAACCATGCAAGGGGAAGAATTTGTCACCAAGATCAATAAAAACGATGATCGTAAATCGCTAGGTGCTATCATCTCCGAAGTGCGCATCAACCTAGAGGCTATACAAAAAAAAAGTCAAGCAATCTTATCCAGAGGTATGTGTGCGCTTGTCAAAATTTGGACTTAGGACAACTGATCTTGAACCGTATCTATCCTATAAGGTGGAATAGCAGGGCTTTTCCGCCTATGGGTCCTGGTACAGCGTCCCATAAATCAGCAGATACGATTCGATATTCTATTTGCAGAGCAAATAGACAAACTCGAGTCCTATGAGCAGTACCTAACTGTTTAAAAAAAAAGGCAAACGTTTCCAGGCATTCCTCAAAGAACAGCGAATTAACGCGCTTTTAGAGCGTCTAAAAGCGCTTTAATTCGCTAAAACGTTTAGAACATCTAGAAACGGACATATCTATCACTGAACGTCTGAGCCCTGTCGCAATGCGGAGCGCAGACTGTTGCACATATTTTTGGTAAGAGATTTCGAACTTTTGACCTTTATGACCAATACTACTGAGAATCAATTCACAATCCCAGATTTAGCGAAAGGGCTGAGATGTGCCAACGAGTAAACAAATGATTGATACAGCTTTCCAAATGTCGCCAGTCGGGGCAAAGATTGTCCGAGCATTGTCACAAAGGAGCACAACAAACTATGATGACATTCATATCTTTCTCAGAAAAACTGAACGTTAAGGCAAGGGCACAGAGGCAGCCCTAAGCGACTAGGCTTGTCGAAACTGACATCAGGCAGATTTAAAGCTGAGGTTGCTGCGCTCAAAGCAAATGGTAATCGCTGCCTGCTAACCATATTGACTTTGGAGCGAGGGGGAGCGTTCAGCATTTCCAGCTACCTTTCCAGGGCACTAATGGCTCGCTGTTTAGGGAAACGACAAACGACCTAATTATACGTTTATATGTTCAAAGCAAAGAGATGATCATTCCGTAGTTTGTAAGCAATTAATGGGCACCTTCTAAGTATATATAATAATATTTAAGTTTAGATTAAAAAGTTCGTCTCTAAAGAATCTTGTTTCCAGTAAATGTAACAAATGGACAAGAGACTCATAAGATCTCGTGTTAAAAAGTAATTTTCGTTGTGCGAAACAAATAAGTTAAATTTTCGTTTCCTCCAGTACGTTACGGCGCTGATTCGCAGTTGCTGTCGGTTCTCTCAGCGGTCAAAATCGGATTATCTATTTAACTCTCAGGTCTATTGGTCTCAGGTAATTAAGTCTTTACGTAGTATGAATTTCAACTTCCGCTGCGGCGACAACAACAAATCTGTCTGATCCAACTGACGACAAAGAAAGTAACAACATCAAATGCCACCAGGGATGCGTAACTTTGCTGCGACAAAGAACTTGATAATCATCATCAGATACCAAAACATTGCTTTTATGATAAAAACAAGTTGATTTTGATTTAAAAGGTGCCACTATTTTTTGGCCACACCAAATACTAACATGAAACAGACAAATATTTCTGTGTTGCTAACCAATTGCTGCCGAAACCCTTAATGATTTCCACTCATAGGTTTGATTTCCCCTTGACTCTTCCTAAGATGGGCTTAAGATGGTGAAACATTTATTTATTTGTATTTTTATTTATATATATATATATATTTTTTTTTATTATAAAAAGATACACACAGTTTTTCGACTTAAACAGAAGTTCTTCCTGACCCTTCAAGAATTACTCTGGAATCAAATTTGTATGACATGCTCTTAAATCAAAGTGCTACTGCCCCATTCTCTTCGATAAACGTTTATCACGATAAAGTGTCCGCAATGAAATAATTGGACTGAAATTATCATTTCAAGCAGGAAGAACACCAGCATCTAGACTGAAGCGTGGCACAATTATAAAAAGGCGCTAGAAAATTCGGCTGATCATTAAAAAAAAATAGCACATGTATATGTCAGACTGTTCTGCTCACGTTTCTCTACGTAGATGGAAAACGAAGAAGAACTTCTAAATAGCTGTTGAAAACTGTTTTTATACGGCGAGTTTTTTTGGTTTCACAAAACAATAACTTTAAAAATGATAGAATTCATAAACACAGTATAAGTGTTGGGGGAAGTTTATAGAATATCCGAGCTATCGGAGTGGCGTGCGTTTGCCCGCCATATGAAATCGAAACCACTACGATAGTTCTAAGAGGAAACGGCTACGGTAGGTTGAATATGTATATGCGACTAGGGAGCATTGAAACTGGTCTTCCTTGAACCCGTTTGGCGGTATTCCATTAGGTACTTGACAAAAAAGCGAATTGTTTATTCAGTGCAATATAAATAGAATCATATGTAACCATGCGTAGTGCATTATTCAATGGCATTGACATTATGTGGGCTACCAAAGCTTAATGAGAACGTCTATTTTAAACAAGTTTTCTCCAGTGAAATTCGTGATAGTTCAAGTTACTAACTTAAAAAAGTTTTAGTTATTTCCAACATTACTATAAATTAGTCACTGCGCATGGCTGTAACTATATGCTGTTAAAAAGAGCTAACTTATTTAAGTAATTCAGATCGAATCAAGCAATGTTGCAAGAATAGAAGCTACAACATTATCCAACAACTGATTTGGTCAAAGATTTTTGCAATCAAAACACTAAATTTAGTTAAGAAGTTATTATATCTCATACAAAAACTGAAATTAATTATGTTGTTAATTAAATCCTTACCTAAGGAAAAAGATCACATTATAAATACGCTTTTTTATGAGTGCAGTTTTGAATCATCCTGTGTCCGGCGGTCAGCTACATCCGACATTAGTGAGTTCTGACTATTCGTAAGCACCAATGAGGCGCTCTTGGGTAGACGTATTTCTTTTCGTGCTTGAACCTCGGGGATATTTCTTTAACGGCTCCACCCGGCGTAAATCTCGAAAATTTTACCTAGTACCGTTTGTTTTACCGCAATCAGCTTAGCGCCGTCACAAAGCTTCTATAGATGGGTTTGGCGGCAGCTGAGCTTCTAGTTTAGGCCTTCGCCAAAGTGTCATATGACAACAATAAGATCCGATTGCTCTAGCGCCAGAGAACATTGGCAGACCTAAAGCTGCTCTATTCGTGGCGGGGCAATGGTCATACCGCAATGAGCCAATAATGACCAGAGAATAAAACTAGACACTACCCTGACTGCTAGTGCTGTCATCGTCTTTAAAATCTGCTTGTTGATGGTGCCTATGACGGAAGGTGCCGTCTATTATTGTTTTCCGCCTGTACGGTAGTAGACAACTTCTCTCCCACTCGCGGTAATTCACTCTGTGGGGTTTATTGCAAATATAGGAGCGCCTGTAGCGGTATTGCTTAGCTGTTGGCTGGCTAGGTAAAGTACGTGTTGCCTGCTTTTGTTTGTCTTAACTATTAACACACAACATAAATTTGCTGTGCGGAGTTTTTGTCTTTACTACCATCGTGAGTTTTGGTGTAATGACAGCTCAGTCCTACAGTATGACTGAACGGTAGAGTAATGACCAGTAGTTGGTGAAAGTTTCATAGCGAACAGACAAAATGCGGCGCCGGTGCTCTATTGTTTTTTTGTCAACGACAGGTGGTTAATTCCACTAATCCGGTGACGGCGGTTTTTCGTCCGGTGTTCTATAATGGCCGCTGTCCAGTACCCCGCCCCATTGGCCTCTCCCGGCCTCTCGTTGGCAGTGCACTCGTTTCTTGCATCGCCTCATGCTCGCAACACCTGCGGAAATAATGGCCTGCCACTCACACCGAACTCAGTGCGCATACTCGGCCGATTCCAGCTACTGAAAACTTTAACACACCCCTGCCTGGCTGCCTATCTCGATCTGCAGCGCGGTAAACATGAACGGGTCGTCATTGTATGTGAGTACTACGAGCGCAACTGCCGCCGACTGCTCGCGTCTGAGCGGAGTCCGATAGCTGAGATACACAGCTTCGCGCACTTCGATGGCCGAGAGGATTATACGCAGATTGTACGACGGGTATTTGTCGAGTCTTTGCACGCTCTTGCATACGTACATTCGCGAGGGCTCGTACACCACACTTTGTCCCTACAAAGTATTCAGCTAACGGACTCTTTGCATGTAAAACTTTCCAATTATGGCACCTATTACGTGACAGAGTACGGGGCTTGTGTGCCATTCCCTATTGGCTTACCGAAGTATCTGCCACCCGAGGTTCTACTTGATAGGAATGGGGTACATTCGCCTAAGACGGACATCTGGTCTCTTGGAATTATTTTGCTAGAGTTGGCGCTACGGAAGGAGCTTCTCAACTTCGATCTTGAGGAACAGATTCGTTTGGTGCTTAAATGTGCTTCGAGCGAAAAACCGGTGATGTGTATTCTCGAAGCTCATAAGCTCGTCTACGAGTATCTGTGTTTGAAAGAAGACGTGCGTGATACGATTGAGGCCTGTCTAACAGTTGCGCTTAGTGAACGGCCTTCGTCAGATGAGCTTCTTGCGCACGCTTATTGCGATATTCAAGTGGATTTGCTGACACGGCCCCGGAAGGGCCTGCCTCCACATGAATTGATTGGTTCTGGAAGTGATCAAGCGGAGGAACGTATTAGCAACAGTTCACAATTGCCAAAAGCGTGGGAGGTTCTCAACGTGCACGAATTGTACTATTTCTGGAGACTGACAGGTGCGTATAGAAATAAAACGATTAATTGTTAATTAATACAATAACATGTATTGCTAGATTATAACATGATTTTATAGTGATTTGGTCCACATTAGTCAGCCATTGTGCTACATGCTTAAAAGACTTTATTTTACGTTTGTTTTCTAGCCTCGAAGATTCATTCTAAGCCCCTTGCCAATATTCCTGATTAAGCTGTATTTGGGTTTTAACGCCGAATCAGCTAGAAGCTTAACAAAAGAGAAGTTAGTTAACAGCATGTAGGTATTTTTTCTAACAGGAACATTGATTTCATACGAATGATGAAAAAGAAAGGTTTAGAAACAGACATTTCTAATAGTAATTGAAAAATTAAATTTAATCATCTAACGGATCAACTAACAAGCTTTAATGCTGGGCTCAACTATATAACACTTGGTTCATCGCATTTTCTTGCGAGACGTTGGACTTCGTAAATCGAGGGAACTTATTTTATAAAGGTAGCCCAAGAAATCGATGCCTACGCGTATTCTGCAATAATTTCGAGGTATAAAGAGCTTCTTAGAAATAAATATAAACACGCGGATTAAAATGCTGTGTTTATCACCACTCTCACTCACTGTCGTCACTTAAGTAACTTGCTGCTACATATACCTGTACCTTGATTGATTGCTACTCTATAAGATATCAGGATCCTTTGCTCCTCTAGGAAAAATTTTCAAAATCATCAATCTTTAGATAAATATTAAAAAAAAAAACAAAAAAAATCAAAGCTATAACACAATTATGATTATATTGATGGTATATAAGATGGTACTGACTGTGGTAGTAGTCGAGGCTAATTTCAGACCAGAATTATATTCTGGGTTTAAACTATTAATCAAAAATAGAGCCTATGTCGTTTCTATGCTATCTGATAACTTTCTTAGACAAGATCATCTAAGCGACGGCACTATACTTGCGTCGAGTGTGTTCACAGGCGGAGACGCGCTTGCCGAAGTTTCAAAACAGCGAGATTATATTCGAAGTAAAGCTGCCATCTTCGGCTTGCCAAAGCTGACACTACTCGAAGGTGAAGATTGCGGTGCGAGCCGGGACTCATCATACTTTTATCGCGACACAGTTCTTCGTCTTCCTATGGAGCCCCTTCGTGAGCGACTCAAATCGGTGGATCCGGACATCATGCTCAATTCGATCAGCATCCTCTACGAGGAATACCGCGGTACTAGCAGAGCAGGTGATCGCAGCCGATCCGAGAGTTTCACGACAAAGACGGCTTCGGAACTTCCGCTAGTTATTCGCGAACGCGATATGGATTATCAGATCCGGCGAATGTTCCGTTTTCGGCAATTAGTTGAGCTCTATCCACTAACAGGTCGAAGTATTCGGTTGGAGGCAGAGACCGATATTCCACCATACTTTCGAGGTCACGTGTGGGCAGCCCTTCTTGGCGCTCAGGGTGATTATCAGGCAGAGTTTGCTGAGGTGGATAAGCACAGTGCCTCTTCGATGGACCGTCAAATTGATGTGGACATTCCTCGTTGTCATCAATACGACCCGCTGCTTAGTTCGCCCACGGCGCATGCTAAGTTTCGTAGACTGCTCAAGGCGTGGGTCGCCTCTCACCCGCAATATGTCTATTGGCAGGTATGTTTCCTCTATAACTATTACATTAGATCAGGTACAAATAGGTCAAGGGGTAAGTACGTGTGATTATAAGGAGAGCCCTAATTTGGCATTCAACTTTTTTAACGTTAAAAAAAAGATAACGTTATCTTAAAAACAAATAGGATTAACGCTGCTAATTTAGTATGAAAGAATAGCTATTAGAAATCTTTTATTATTTCTACTAAAATTGATTTTTCGTAGACGAATGTGATATGTTACACAAAATAAAATAAAGAAGGCTTGCTTACTGAGCCTGTACTATTTACCGCTGTCTATTATTATCCGTTATCAATCAAAACGTTTATTGTGTATTTAGGGCCTCGACTCGCTTTGTGCCCCGTTCCTTAGTCTACACTTCAACAACGAAGCACTGGCCTATCAATGCCTCTCACGTTTCGTCGACAAGTACCTTCATAAGTTTTTTTTACAGGACAATTCACTGGTAAGTTCTTCATTTATTCTCTAGTAAAAGGCACCATTATTTATTAAATGAATCATTCGCTTACGTATCGTGCCTTGTTTGCTATTTTGTAGCTTTGTGCACGATAGGACCTTTTTCTTTAGCTAGTAACACGTAACACGGTGTATATTTGACTGTTGGCGTTAATACTTTGTTTTTAGCTTGAAGTCAGTCGTCTGAAGCCATATTCAACGGCATTATCAAACCTGGATGGCAAAGCTGAGGAAATCCTACTTATTATCGGCGTCTGTAGATTCTATATATATATTGCCAATTTGGAGCTTCGTGAAATGAAGCCCATAATGACGAATTTCCCGAAAATATAATTCAGTTCTTTATATACGCTATATTAATAAGTCGCTCCTACTAAATCTGCGCAGTATCTATTTTTCTTCTTCTATAACTTTTCCGAGTTCTGCCAATATCGCCATCGCTAATGAGCACATATATACAGCATACGCAACAGAACAGCGGGTTTCTAAGTATTGTAATAGCATATTTATTTAACTTACAATATTTAGTATATATTATCTAGTGCGGTTTAATAGGAGATTGAAGAAGTTGTTACTTTCCAGCAACTGCTCTAAGATTATGATTTACGGGTAGCATATTTACAGTCGATCCTGTTGATCTAGCCAGGTGTCGTCACATAGGTCATAGTAGTTAGACACCTTGTAAAGAATATTTTTTTGTTAAATGCTGGCCTGAACTCTTTAACCAATAGTAGACGTGTTCTATTTCCTACGACGTTGTTTACGAAGCCACGACATTACTTAAATTAGGATATTTTTTAACCGCTTCCATATATTGAGACAAGCTGACTTAGAACATGAAATTAATGCCATGCCTGACCTCCGCCTTGTTTAGTGCGGTCATTGAGGATGTTGTTATCACACAGTGGGACAAGAAAAAATCAGTTTTTTATGGAAACTTCTGTGGGATTTCCCAGTATGGGAGTCTCATTTTTAGAAACTAACGAACGTTTTTGGAAGTGTAAAAAGTTGATTTCTGCAGATATGGATCGCTCTGCTTCTTAGATGTAGATAATGCGCAGTTGCCGTTGATCGCCTTTATCGTGCGTGTCAGTGGTTAAGCTACGGGTTAGCTATAACGGGCCAAATGTTTCGCAGTCTAAACTAAACAAGATGAGAAATAGATATTTCATTGTGCTTAAAGCCATTACAAAAGCTGAATTCATTAGAATAGCGTTGTCGGTTAGTATGGCCGGCCTCCGAACGCCTTACACGAAATGTGTGTATCTATAATTACGATCTTCTGTGAGTACCATAAACTATTTGAAGCCATAATGTATATGCCCTTTTTGGTGTGAAAGGGACAATGCTTTTTAACTCGAAATTGTCAAAATAATACTAGGGAGTTTGTGAGCAGTACAGGAGGCATCAAAATAGGCCTTAATGAGAATACGAAGGCAGTTCAATCGGCAAAGCATGTATTTAGCACAGTTTATTCCAAACTATTCATGGGTAAACTAGTTCAGTATACTCTGCTTATGTTACTTTACATTTGTGTGTCTAGGCTCTGCTTCATGTGATATTTCTATTTTCATAGGGTGTTTGTTCCACTTTTATGTGTCAAGTCCTAGAATGACCTTACATACAATAATAAGGGCCTTCGTGGGAAAATTTCAGGTGATAAAGGAGTACTTGGCAGTATTCTCTAGGCTTGTAGGCTATCATGATCCAACCCTATTTTTACATCTTCAGCGGGAAGAGTTCATACCTGATCTTTATGCGATTCCATGGTTCCTCACTATGTATACTCACGTGTTCCCCCTACACAAGGTACAGATCATGCAGTTTGACTCTTTAAGTAACAATAATGATCAATTACAATAGTTTGCATACAACAGATCGTAAATACTATTACTTTTATGTTTGTACGCAGAATTCACAACGTCGAAAATTGAGCTATACGTTTTGTAGTTAATTTAAAACGAGGATAAGCTAGTGGCTTTCCTTTAGTGTTAGTAGTCAAGATTTTTCACTAATTTGACAAAACAGTTTTTTCTTACTTTCCATAGCGATATTTCCCTCTCCGTATTTAAGAGGATTAATAAATTTTCAAGTTTTACTATTCAACTTATAAAACTACATCGTTTTTAACAGAATTTTCATTCATTCATACTTTTCCTCCTGTAGATATATCACCTGTGGGATGCATTACTTCTTCGAGGAGAGGCCTTCCCATTATGCGTGGGCGTTGCGATCCTTCGACAGTTACGTGAACAATTGTTAACGTTTGGCTTCAACGAGTGCATCTTAACGTTCACCGACATGCCAGAATTAGACACTGAGAGGCTTGTGTGTGATGCTGTGCACATTTTTGATGCTACTCCACCAAGTATTTGCTATCGGTTCGTATCTTACGTCATGTTAACCTTAGACCCCTAACATTAGCTGGTAGCGATACATTGCCTACAGAGTGTCATTGTGCTCCTAATAGATTTGAGCATGAGCACAGGAATTTTAAACTGGGCCATTGTAAAATGTGATGTATGGCGGCCCGATTTTCTCGACTGTTAGTATCGTAATGGCAAGGCATCTATGAGTCAGTATGCGATAGTGAATGCAATAACAGTAAATAAAATTCCGTGATCTCTATAAAAATTCCGTAAATTCTATAAAAATTGATATGGCTGCTAAAGTTAAGGAGCTCTAAATTCCGAAGCTGAATTATCTTACCGGCTGCAATAAAATATGTTTTTTAAACAACATTCTAATTTTTATGGAGTGCAGTGTAAGATATATAAGTTAGCTGTAGGTTACATTTATGAGTTGAACCGATTGGTGAAAAGTATACTATAAACAAATAAATGTCAGTTCTCAAAACGTTGCAGGTCCCATTCGCGCAAGCCAATGATGGGTATGACGCCGTTATCGCTCGAAACTCTACGTGAAGAGTTAAGTCCTCGAATATCGACTGAAGACTTTTTCGCAGCAATGGCAGGTGGCAATCGAGGAGATTCCAGGGAACAATCAGGTCGAGGACGAAGTCGGCCAGCGCAAGGGCAAATCCCTATAAGAGATGTTCCAAGGGAACGCGTGCTTGTACTTGATGTACGACCGAAGGGAGAGTTTCTTGAAGGTGGATGCGTAAATCTTCTATAATTTTAAAAATCAGATCTCTGTAGGTTTTAAATTTTGTTTGAAAAATTAGAGATAGGGACCTAAATTTGCAAGTTATAGGCCTAGCAGACACATTAAATTGCATTTCTTAGAACCGGTGCAGTGCATGCAGTTTAGTTGCATAAAATATTACGAACCAATGTCTTTCTGCAAATATGTTCGTGGTAAATTATTGGTTTACTATTAAAAGAAAAATACTATTATTGTAATTAGTTGCACACAAAAAAGCTAAAAAAATTGTTTATTTTGTCCTTATCTATATGGCCATGTAGATCTGGTGTAACCTTACAGCTCTAAACAGCAGGATGATTTTTTAAAAATTTTTTTGATAGATTGCTTTCCAAATAGTTGAAATAAAGATCGTGTTGGTGAAAAAATCCCCTGTTGGTCACATCCAAAGACTATAAGCACCGAGTATCTTATTCTTCTTTTTACTCGATGTTACAGGTTGCCTTCGGGGGGCAGTCAGCATGCCAAGCGCTACAGCATTCACCGCGGAGGGCAAATTGGCATCTTGTGCGGAGGCATCAGCAGTAGCAGCACATCGAGGTCATATGATTGTGCTTGTGGGCAGCGAAGACGATAGGCGAAAAGTGGCAAATCAGCTCGTGACACTGGAGTTCCCCCATGTCGCCATACTTGATGCACATCCGCAACAATTGAAATCACGAATGGCCCCTCCAATTTGCCTCTACTGACTGCACACGCCGGCACCAGCAGTAAGAAGAGGATTATGGTAAATTTTAAAGGCCTGTGAATGTTTTCACTGTAGTGCGGACGTCAAGTCGGGAAAATCAAGGACCGAGAAAGAGTAAGAGGCTTTTCAGGTAGGATGTCATCTAAGTCGACCGTTGCTGAAGGAGAGCTCGCGACGTACTTGCAAATCTTGCATGCTTGAATGAACTAGTGGAAACATAAAATAGCCGCACATAAAATTGGCTGAAGCTGTTAGAAGTGATGTTTTTATCTAGGCTAATTTTTCAAGATGAAATATTGTAGCCTGACAGAAGATGGCCCTTACTAGTAAGTATTGCTTAATTTAATTCTAAACGTCGCATTACTTGGCAAATGAGTATTATTCTGAGATTATAGGTCTGACGGAAACTTACTCTTATAGGCGAAGTTGCCATACTAATTCAACTGGAAATCAGGGGTCAAATCGACATAGTGTAATAATTTCCAAAGAAGTGAACTCTTTGGACTGAAATCATGTGGGCTTTCTTATATGCCTTACTTGTGCGCATAATGTGTTTAAAAATACGTGAACATGAGGAACTCAAGCCTATGTGAAACAAACCATGATCCAACATCGTGGGTTACTATTGACCTAGTATAACATAGGTAGAGTTCACCCTTGAACTTTTCAATAGTGTGATGCGTTCGATGCCTCTCCTCAACGATTTGTATGAACAGAAGATCTGCGGCAAGCACATACCCAGCAGTAAAATAGCATTACGATGCTTTAAGGCCATCCCAGTGGACAACCTACTACGAGGCATGTACATTATTATGGGGAGATGTAGTTCGGTTGATGGTCTTATTGCTGAACATCGTAATTCAAGCTCGCTCTCAAAAAGTGCATGGAAAAAGAAAACGTGATACAAAATCACCAACTTTTCGTCGATCATAAACTTCTAGTTGCGTATTTTACATGTGATGAAAGTAAATGTTAGTCTAGCAATAGCTTAAGAGTGTATGTTTCGATCCGATAGGGATTCGAGATCGTAATGGAACTTACCTTTCTGTGGCAAATCATTATCGGGGTAAAACGTTTGAAGAGGTGCTGAATCTGATTGCAAGATGAATGAAACTATAGAAATCACCGAGTGGAGAACGTGGCAATACGGTATAGGATAGGGTGGGTTATATTAAAACTAGATCTAATTAATGATGGAATTAAAAGTCGTTAAACGAATTATAGTCCTTATTTTGTTCATATGTTTGGATTGTTATTTTCATTCTCAATTCGTTAATTTTTCAATTAACTGTTTGGTGAAGTTAAGCACTTTTAGATGTGATATCACAAGTGCGTGTAGACACACTCACGAGAAGTGGATGTAATTATGAACGGAGGTCTCGTTTAGTCGTTTGCTTTATTCACCTCAGAGGTAAACATGTAGTCAACGAAAAGGACGAAATGATATAACAGCTATAGGTTAAGGTGTGAAATGATCCATTACAACGTTGAATTAAGAGAATGAAGTAAAGATACGACTTTATTGGCTTAGCCGTCGCATATTAAGTCAAGATATATATATATATCAT